TATTGATCCTTTTACAGCGACTCGAGATCCCATAAAAGGGCTTAACGTGTATATTGGTCATATGGTTTAACTGTAATAACATCGATTGTACTATGGAATCGTTTCCACAGAGATTTCTCTTGGAATAAACTTGCCTTTTTGCCCGGCAACGCGTTTGATGTGCCTTTCAATTCGCTGCACAGGATGTTGGTGATTCGATTTATTGTTTTTCTTTTAATTAATTTCTTTACTTCTTTATACTGTTTTGTTCGATTTGATATCAAAAATATTTAAAAAGCCAGAGTTGATAAAGCTATGTACTGTTGTCCTTCATGGTAGTCAAGTTTCCTGTTAGTCGATAAACTGCATTTGAAAATTAATGCCTTTCAGGCAATGAAAAACAAACAATCTCGTTTATTAACACAATTTTCCCTCTGATACGTTCTACCCTCTGACAAAAATAGTCTTGTAGTTTATTTCCTTCAGTGACTGCTTTGCCTTTTCGGTTAGCTTTCTCAACAGGAACCGTTTGAGGAGAATTCCTTGCGGAGCTTTCTATAATGTGACCTATTTAGTTCTACTGTGAGTAGTTTTAATAGTCATTCCATAAGCCCAACTAAAGAAAAAAAAAGAGACTTGGATGCACGTGGAATCGGATAGACCATCGCAAAGGCAGCAACTGGAAAAAGTTTACAGATAAAATTTTACGGCAACAGAAAACGTCAAGATGAACCCTGATCAAACCCACTTTTCTATCACAAAGTTGATGAGTTTCATTCCCAAATTTAAGGAGGCTTTCACAGTGTCTTCACTTTTATGGAATCAAGGAGCTCGTTCATTGCCTGGTTTTTCGTAAAGCTTAGAGACCAGAAAGCTTGACATGCTTCAGAGTATTGTTGCGTTTTACAGTTCATTGACGCAACAACGTTAACGTGCGTTCAAGACCTTTTTGATAAAATAAAATTGTAGATAAGTAAAGTGCGTTCGATTTAGTGTAGGAATGGATATTTTTTGCTTTGAGTAGCAAAATACATTCTATAATTCAATCCACGAACATCGTATGGTGGCTTGGCTTACAGTTCTGATTTGCATTAACTCGTTTCAATTCTATCGAATGGTTGCTATTTAACTACATATCTTGCAGCATCAATACCGAAGTGAATCTCGATTACCGCATGAGATCGAGGCCATGTGTGTCTGTCACTCCAAGATGGCGTCGAATCGCATATTTAAAAATTCGTAAATTCAGGATTAAAATCAACTGCACTGCAGAAATTTGCCTTGTCACTGACCGACTTGGGCAATTTCTAAAAGCACGCATACTATTTTAACCCTTGATTCTACTAGTGATTACTTCCGATTTTCCTCCTGGATTTTAGAAACTGTTAATGAGATTCTCCTTACTGGCATAATAAAATCTAATCCTTTTAGCAGGCACTGTCCAGAGCCAACAGCAAAGTACGCTAGAAAACTATCAAATACAACAAACTGATTTATGCATACACTACAAGGCCAGCAGACAGGCATGGTCGGTAGTCATGCAGAAATATTTTTATACATTTCTGTGAAATGTTCTTTAAAACTTCATTAAACTGAATATGATATGATATCCTAAGTTGGGTCGAAAAGGGCTGCTTTAGGTGTCCACAGAATACAGATTAATTTGATAGTAAATATGGCAAGATAAAATCATAACCTTATTAGCTGTCATTTTATAGAGAGTCTTCGATTTTATCGGACTCGTTTCAATTTTTATTTAGGAATATTCCATTGTGATTTTCACTGCTACATATTTATCGTCCTCATTTTATTCCTGTAGAACATTATCTGATAATCCTCTTGAGATTATCGAGCGAGAGGCCTTTCGCCTTGAGTCCCTCAGCGTGAAATTTTCACTGTAGGTTTTAATTTTTAAGCATTATATTCCATCCAGGTGTTACTCATTCAAGGACTTCTTCAAGTATAATATTTGCTGATCAGATTATGAAGGAGGACTGGAAACCGATGAAAACGAGGAAAACAAAATCAGATCACATATGTCGTTAAGTTAAGGACTGAAGTGCATCAAACCTGCGCCAAATTTGTAGTGAGATGATCTTAGCTCTTGATATTCTCTCATTTTATAGATTTCTTCTCCGGACAAAGTTGAAGACTTTAACATCTGCCTCATTCGCAGGCCTCCACCCTGTGAATTTCAACCTGTGACGTATCTAACATAATCAAACGTTCAGCATCTACACTAAATAGCTAAAACGATAACAAACAAATATCATTGCAATAATGACCCGTGAAAGTTTGTTCTATCTTCGCTGTAGAGTTTTAAATAATGATTACATTTTCTCAAACTTGAAATTAAAGTTTTATGGGCCGCAACAATACTCACCCTACGGAGCAACATTAAGCGCTGATAGATACTGTCTTCATACTCACATGATGTCCATTTATTGAGCACGAGGTTGAAAGTTTAAGAGTTCTTAATCCTCCCCTCCTCCCTGACATATGGTGCCGAGCCCAGGAGTATTCTCGCTACACAATATAAGTTGATGCTTTCAGAAAAAAATCAAAACAAAACAAAACAAAAAACAACATAAAACGAGTAACTTTCGAACTTACGATAGCTAATACTGATTTATTTCAGTTAAATCTAGATATTCAGCCTCTAAACATTGTTTAATTTCTGTTGCAGTGTTGCAAGGAATAGAACAGCTAGAACCATATATTATTCCATTCCAAGCGGGAAAGTCACAATTTACCTGTCAGTATAAGATGAATGTTTTGATAGCGTACACCCATGATATCATATCACATACACATTTTTTTTTTTGATACGTAACTTTAATTTAGGGGAAGAAGCTGACCAATGTTAAATAAAATTAGCATTTAATTGCGATTAATTATTAGGCAATGTATCAAGGAATGATGATAACCAAGGGAGACTAGAAACATTAAAAAAAAAAAGCTTAACATTCAAATGTAGGATGATTTTTGGAACACCACTATACCGATCTGAGGGAAAAAGCAGAGCGTTTAAAATCAAATTAATAAACAATTTTATAGGTATCAATTACCAGCGTTATCGCCATTAGTGTCTGGTATTGCCAAGTCTGATATAGTCAAGATAAAGCGATGATCTTTATATATATATATATATATATATATATATATATATATATATATATATATACATATATATGTATTGAGATAGGGGAAAATATAGAGAGACTATACTTTCATCCTTACAAGCCTCTTCCGTGAATACTTTCTCGTAAGGGGATTCACGCTGACTAGCGAGTAATCACGAAACAGGCTTGTAGGCATGGAAGTATTGTCTCTCTGTTTTTCCCCTATTTCAATATATATCGCGCTTTACTTCTACGTATCGAGCAATGTAAAACGGAAAAATTAAAACACAGACTTCATGTATTTATCGCAATATTTCAAAAAATACTCCTGTTAACATTTTCACTCTTAGGAACTCTCTTTCATCTTACGATGAAGCTATTGTCGTTGTACGTAAAAGCAGTGAACACTTCTCCATTGAGTCAGTACTACTCAGTATGGGTTTCACCAAAAATGAAAACCAATCACACGTTGTATTTCTCCCATGTCCTTTGGGATCATTTTCGAAGTATTTGGGAGAAGGAAGCTGGAAGTGCGTCGCTTGCTCTCCTGGTATGTTATAGTTTGGACGTTTGTAAGAACCCGATGTAGCGTAGGCCATAGTAAGAAACGGTGAAAGTGACTAAAAATTTGAGACATTTGTCTTTTTATAGACCTATTCATGCTTATAAATGTAAAATATTTCCACAGCAGTTATTTTGAGAAAGCTTAAATGCACGATGTCTGCTGGGGTCGTGCTATTTTAAGACCCACCATCTTTTTTACACTAACCACACCAATATATTTCGAACAAAGCCTAAAGGGCTACAAAAGTGTAGAGAAATAAAAACTATCTCAATTTATGACGCCGACGTGAGAAAGGATTTCAGGTTTCAGTATATAAATAAAAAAATAGTCTCTTTGTCCAAAGCATTAACTATTAGAAAAGAATGACTTGTAAAGGAAATGTTTTCCTCTATCAATTAAACTGAAATTGATAAAAAATTTGACTTTTAACCAAAGCAAACGATAATCGTGAGGGAGAAAAGTTTCTCAGAAGCAGATTTGCAGGTAGCTATAATAGTGATTAGCCATTGGTTTTCGAAGGCTCAACCTTGAAGCTGGTGGAAACTTCTTATTCCACCAAGTTTCAGGTATGTTGACGGTTTATATTTTTATTTTCACATATAATCAAAATGTCCTTGAAACCACTCATAACCACAACTGGCACTTTGACACGTTCCTCTTTCAGGTGGTTTTTACTCCGACACTCTTGGTTATGTTGCAGACGGCTGTAAGAAATGTCCAAATGGTTCTTACGTGGCATTTGACAAAAAACCTGGAAAATCCATTTTAGACTGCAAGACGTGTCCTGACGGTAATAACCAAGCATGTGGTTCTCAACATCAGTAAAGGGTTTCAGCTGTCAGTACGTACACACGTAATCAAATGCTGTTCAGAAGCTTGGAAAGAATGGCGTAAAAAAAGAGAATATAACAGTCGTATTTATCTTAGGAAACAAACCCAGCACGTAAGCAAGAATTGAATGTCTCGAAATCCGTCCCTGTGTTCGCTTCATTGTGTATGGTGGGTTTGAAGTTTTTTTTTTTTTTACCTCAAGGGTAGGATTTGACGCCCTAAGGTTTATAGGTGAACCTATTAATTGTGATTTTTCCCTTAATTTATAATTGTAAGAACATCGGGTCACAAAGTCCCGGAGGGAATCCTGTCCACCCTGCACTGATAAATAATACCAATGATTCCATATTTTTTGCATTTGTGGCGAGAACGAAAAAAAGGCTAAAAACTAGGAACCTACTTAGTTTTAAAATGAAAATTAAATATGTCAACAGCAGCCATCGTTAGTCTAGCTGCTTTTGGGGCTCAAGCTTCATCTAACTAAATGTAGGAGTGAGTAAGCTATGATTGATTTACAAATACAATCTTGGATTTTTACAGGAACGGAAACCGACTTTTTCGCTGGACATCGCGCTTGTCCCTGCCTAGAAGGACATTACCGAACTCATCTCTTCGACAAGTGTGTTAGATGTGGCCGAGGCGGGCTGCTATGCCAAGATGAGTATGCCTCATTGAAACCTGGCTTTTGGTGGCAATGGCGGAACGAGTCCTACAAACATCGCTATGAATCTTTCATGAAAAATCTCGCCCTAGAGTTACCTGCATTGGATGATTTCTCAGTGCAGTATCCTTATTCAATACCAACACCGTATAGATGTCAGGTTGAGGAGTCTTGCAAAGGTGGTTTGGACTCACCATGCGGAGAAGGGTATCAAGGTCCACTTTGCGCTGTATGCAAGCCAGGTTACTACAAACAATTTCACTCTTGTGAAAAATGTCCTTTAAGGGCCTGGATCGCAGCACAGTTATCTCTTATTGCTTCTATTATAGCGATATTGTTGGCCCTTTTAGTTTGGAGAAAGAAAAATAACCTTTCAAAGGACCGGGGATCTCGTTTTGACAGTTTGTTGTCAAAACTTAAGATCTTGATTGGTTTTTATCAAGTCACTCATGGCTTGCTTGACGTGTTCTCGTTCATTGAATGGCCAGATTCATTGCAGGTTGTGTCCAAGTATTCAGGAATTTTACAGATGAATTTGCTTCGGGTAACACCTATTCACTGCCTTAACCACGAATTACACGTGGATGCCTTTGGAGATTTGTTTGTGCTCTTGTCAATGAATGCCATTGTTATCGTTGGTTCGTGTGTGATCTATGGTTTTTGGTATATGATGATCTCAAGAAACCAGAGCCTGGAGGAGGACGAAAGGGCACAAAAAATTTCACAGAGGAAAGTACTTATTTACAGAAATGTTTTTTTCTTCCTATACGTGACCTACCTAAGCACCTGTTCGAGGACAGCAAGCGTTATGCCGTTCGCCTGCCAGAAACTCTGCAAAGATAAAAGAGAAGAGCTATGTGACGAGTACCTTAAAGTAGATTACAGCATAAAATGCCAAGGAGCAAATTACAATCATCTTGTAATTATAGCTTATATTTCAGCTGCATACACCATGGCTTTACCTGCTGTTTCTTTCGTCGCCCTTTGGAGGCATCTGCGAACAATCATAACGAAGAAAGACGGAGATGATGGCTGTAATCCAGAGGTTGTTGACGGATTGCGCTTTCTCTTCGAAAATTACAAACCTCGTTCCTGGTATTGGGAACTGGTTGAAATGACCCGAAAACTCATTCTTACATGTGGCCTCATTCTCGTGGGTCAAGAAAGCAGATCCTACATTGGATTGGCATGGGTGGTTGCCGGTATGTATGCAGTGGTTTTTTGCTGGGTCAAACCCATGCAAGACACTTTTGAGAACAGGCTGATGTCCACTTCCCTTGCTGTTACAATTGTAAACCTGGGTATTGGTGCTGTGAGCAGAATTCCAGCAGAGAACATATCAAACATGGCGGACCATCACAAGGACGCTCTGGCAATGAAAATACTGATTTTGGGGGCAAATACGTTGGTGATTGGCCTTCTTGTTGGTGAGATAAACATTAATTGCATGGAAAAAAAAACTAAACTGCAACTTTTAACTGTTACTTCGTGTTGTTATATTTCCATTTTCCAAAATATTAACCTTACAAGTGTCATACCATTCACATTGAAGGTAACCTTATCGTATCTCGAGTTTATCTGAAGAGCAACCAATCGTTGAAAAAAAACGCAAAACAAGGATTTAGTCTCTCTATAGGAGCTCAACTGATTTGGTTAACAATTGAAACTACGTTCCAAGCCTCTATGGTTTGTAATTCCACACCCTATGGAATTTTTACCATAACTCAGAAGAGGTTTAACTCTTTGGTCATTCATTTTCTTCTTAGTTCAGTACCTGGCATACTTACATCAGTTCTTCAAAGAGTGGCGCAAAAATCCAAAATGGTCCTTGTCTTGCTGCCTAGCCTTGCTTCTTCCACTTAATGACCTTCAAGGCGAGATTCGTGGAATGGTTGGCAAGAACATGCTTAAAACACAGCTTCTGTCAGGGATCATTGGGAAGCCCTCCATTGCAGCCAGTGCAAAAGGTACTGGAGCTTTGAGTTTTTCTCCAACCCATGAAGAAAATGAAAGAAAAGGAAGAAGTTCAGTAAAATCCAGAACGACCAGAAAAAGCCTTACTAAATGTGAACGTGGGACACAAACAGAAATATTCACACCGGTATCTACCGCTACCGCTGAACATGCACAAGTATCACGGAAAGCTTGCCAGCAGATAACCATGTGAGTACGTGTTTAATGAGTTCCTGTTTTCGTTTGTCTGATCTCTTTATTTCGTTTGTATAATGTAGAATCTTTTCACACTTGTACATCTCTAGGATCTGCCAACCTGTATTTTTGGTTAGTCGTAGACGAATGATATGTCGATGATCCTTCATTTGATATATGAGAGAAAATATAATGGACTGTCTAATTTGTGACAGAGATTCTATTGTTAAACCTTTTCAAGGATTGTCTTTCTCTAGGGAGGGATTGAGAACGAGCTCCCACGTACGCTGGCCAGTTACCATGCATTTTTCTTAGTTGTTTTTGTCACATATGCTACAACCCATATACACTTGAATTACTTCATATGTTTATGTAATAGAGACTTTAAAAAATTCCTCTTGCTCTCAGGATCCGGCACTCTGACCATCACATACCACTTGCTGAAGTAGAGGAAGGCACTTCAAAAGAAGAAAAGACGGACTGGAATAATGGGGAATGAATATTACAGCCAGAAATATTATTGCATTTAGTATGCGAGGCGAAGAATCCTCTTTCCCTTAAAATATTAAATAGCATAGAAATTAAAGAGCGGATGTGTCACGGCGGATCATGGTTTTTAATCATGAACTCTAATAACGTTTTTTTTTGGTATTATTTACAACTCTATTATGCATACATAATGCTCGCATTAGTTACAGCATTAGATATTTCCAAGATGAAGGCACCTTCCGATTAACACAAACCTATACTCTACAGAGTAATCCGATATGCAAGTGATATTCCCATTTGAAAACGGGCTGCACCGGTTTTGAACAAATGTACATTGTCATTGCAAGTAGAGATGGTACATGTAAACTATTTGCATACATATGCACTCGAATATGACGAAATTTGAAAGACAGACTTCTCTAGAGTAAAGGGTATTTTTATATGACCACAAGTCAATGAAGTGTATTGTTTAGGCGCAGTCAAGTTATATTTGAGAAATTCTTATCCCATTTTGTTTACTATTTGCGGGCGTCTTTTCACTCTATGTCTTTAAGCAGTTTCCTTTCACTTAGAGATCTTTCATTACCTTCTCAGCAATCTTGTGCAAAGATACAGGTGTTTTTTTTTTGCTTCAGCCACTAAAAAAGCAATTATTGGATGAGTTTGAGCATATATTAGCAAAACCGAAGCAGAAGGCTGAGGAAAATAACACAGAGTTTTGATAATTCATGATAAAATGCGAAAACCGAATTCATTAATCGTTTTATTATAAACTTTTAATCAATCTGAAAAAGAAGAAACTTCTGTTTGTGTTCGCAAAAATTTGAGAACTCGAACATGATTAATGCAGTATGGGTTATCATGTCAACTTCACAAGCTATTGTAAATAGTTGAACGAATGCTCACGACCAATCAATTTTTCATTATAAGTCTAAAGTATATGAACAGCTATTAAAAGCTTTATCTGGAGCCGAAAATGTTCTGTCAACTGTGAAACATAATTATGGTCGGTTTCTTTTGCGTCTTCTAGAACTTTTCTATCTCAGTGACGGTTTGAATTTCGCTTGAACATTTTTTCCGGTTCCTATTTTCCAAGCAGGTGGTTGGGCGTAAAAAGACAGAGAGTATCAATAAACTGGTACGAAACGTCATTTTATTGGTAAGAATACGTTTTTCGTATGTCCTTCCTGTCAAGTAGATGTTAAGCAACCAAAACACGGCATTTATTAAATTTTCTGTTCTTGAAATGGTTACGTTCAAGACAGAGATTGGTTTCGTTGATCCAACGAAACAAATAGTAATACATAAGAATAATCACATTTGCTGAACCTGTGATTTCACTTTCTCTAACACAGTCGGCCCAAACGGTTAAATGTATTCACACAATGAAACTTGCTGTTAAACAGCTCGAGTTTTTGCATGCATTATGAAATATTTGATCGAAAGTTGATGAGAATTACTCGGCGAGAGGATCAAACGTTTTCGAAAGGGAATCATTTTTGAAGTGGAACATGTCCTCAGATATGTACGAATTCTTGGAGGAGCAGCGTTTTTGACAGGAAGCTACCTCAGAGTGTACATTATTTGCCACATGGCGTCTGGGAAACAGCTTTATATGACATTGCAATCATTTTTCAACTCAGAGATCTGTAGGAGAAGCTTGGACAAACCACAATTAAACCTGCCTTCGCAAAGCGTTATGTGAGCTATTGTAAGAGGGTTTCTGCACCTGGTTGTCACCTGTAAGTGACAACCATCTTGGGAACAATATAATGGCAACATTACAGCATGGTAGAAGAGGAGAACAAGCGGAGCAGCCAGTAGTAATACTCACGGCCCTCTCCTGGACGTACATCGTGTCTTGTAGAAAATCGTTAAACACGCAAGTGGAAGACTGATGACGAACAGGATCCTTTTGAACAAAGAATGAAGATGTGACGTATTTTGCTTTAAAAAGTAGCGGAAAGGAACTCCATTCAAATTGAGAACAAATGAACAATTTACTTCAATACATTTTAAAGATATTTATTCGTCACCTCTGCGTTACCCGCTGAATGATCGCAAAATAAAACGTCGTGAAGTCGCAAACCAGAATGCATTTATGAGAGATGAGTTTTTATAAGACAGATGTAATTGAGAACAAAGAACGAAATTGCAAACGTAATTATATTTCTTATCTCCACCTTTTAGCTGGGCTGCGTAAGTGCGCAGCTCTATAGAAACATACCAGCTATACTTGTATACTGAAGAATATTCGGACACAGTGAATCTTAAACTCAGGAGTTCCGCGCTTTTTTTTTCTTTCGTTAAGAAAAAAAAAAGAATAGTTAGGTACATAGGCAATGAATGGACATAAATTTAAAATTTTTTGTTGCTAAATTAAAACTGGTTTTCACGAATCATTATTTAGAGAACAAGGTGACACCCTTCTAACAAAACATTAGAGTGCATAGTAAACTTTTGAAACATTGAAAAGGTTTTCACTACATTATGATTTAACAGCTCATACTCGTATTAAAGTAAACCATACTAACAATAGAGGTAGAAAATCGGCGAAAGAATTAAATATGATCATTTGGAAATTAATACAAATATTGCTATTCTATACGATAGGTGATAAAATCGATTTATCTCTGAATTAATTTCTCTTTTACTCTATTTTACTCGTTTTCAGAAACTATGGTTGCAGCGGAACCCCCGCTCATTATGGCACTGCTTTTGGCAATTTATTTGAAAGCGTTGAATGGAAATTCTAGTGCCTTCGCTACACAAGGTGGGAAATGAAGTTGTTCATGTCATGCTGAACTTTGATAATGTTCCTGGAGCCTCTTAAACAGGCAAGAGTAGATCGCAAAAGCGCAAACGAGACGAGCTCTTACCCAGGAGATGGCTGTGGAATATTGCTCTTCTTTCTTTGAGGCAATGAACTCTGCCGATCTACAGTGAAACCTAAGACATTATTTCCCCATCCCACTCGTTGTCGTAAAAACCAGCGGGGTGAATGTGAATGTACTCTTCTAGAATACTGGCGCTTTTTCTCGTACCCATGTTCCGGTACGAGTGGGCATTAGGGTGACAAACCCTCACGTCAAATAGTAATATTAATTATAACAATAGTAATAATAATAATGATAATAATAATAATAATAGTATTATTATTACAATTTCTACATTGTTGAAAACAAATAGATAATGACAATGGTGTACTGACACTACTATTTCTTTAGAATGTGGGGTTTTGGTAAACAGTACATTGAAAAGTCCAGGATATCCATTTAGATATCCAGCAGAATGGCCAATGGGAATATATTTCGTTGACTTTGATGTGGAGTTTCACCCATCATGCAGGTAAGATAGTCCTCTCTGCCACGAATTGATTATTTTTCATTGTAGGCATCCGGTCCAAGAGTTCTGTGTCTGCTATTATGTTTTGTATGCTACTCTTGCAAAATAAGCTTCATAAAAAATTCAAACTAAGGCAGATGATTTAGCTGAAGCAAACTTTACAACACTCGTCCAAAAAATGCAAGGAAAACTTCCTTCAAACCTTCGTATCATTAGACAAGAAAATATTTCGTCATTTCCGTTGCGTTTCTCTATATGTGACCCTCCACAGGATTTCAGGGAATAATGTGAACGCACGCACACGGCACGTTATGACACGCTCGCACGCTAATGGCATAACACGCTTACCGTGCAGATATGCGCATAAAAAAAATTGATTTTAGAAAGTGCGTTGTTCAGATCTGGCTAACACGGTATAGAACTTTGTTATTACAACACGCTAGTGTTGTGTCCGTTTTATAAAGGAAGTTTGACTCGCTATGTTTGAGCGAGCAGTGGAATCAGATAGCCGCTCGCATTAACACAAAATGTAGAGGAAAGAGGAGGACTCTTATTCACAGACTTACGAAAACTAGTTTGTTTCGAAAACACTGAGATAGCACAATTAGTCTATCATTTAACATGAAAACATTATGGGTCGGTTAATTGAACAGAGTTTAGCCATTGTTCAACAAAACTGCGTTCTGAGTTATTTTGATTTTAGCTAATCCTCGTAAGCCTTGCTAATTATTAAGAGAATAAAGAGGGCATGAAACGCAAACTAGAAATTCATTTATGTGCCCAAAATAACGCATTTATAAAAATGTTAGGTGGCGAAGATTGAAGATTAATTATAGTCAAGTAAACTCGATCATGGATAATATGTTTTTCTGTGAAAAAATCTTCGATTAATATTTTCCTCATTAGTTATGACATAGTGAAGATTGCTAATGATCAGAACTATATCCTTGGTGAATACTGTGGTCGAAGGACTGGGCAGACAGTTGCAGTTTATGGAAACTTCGCCTTGATAACATTCCAAACAAACTCCTTTCTCGAAACAAGAGGATTCTTCTTCCGTTTCAAAACGGTTCCCGCTGGTTTGTATAGTTCTTAGGATGGAAATCTCTCAAAATATTTAATGAAGTGGTGACAGTGTGATGTTATCTCAAAGAGAGAACCAAAATAATTATACAACTGAAATGGTTTTTTTATCAGCGGCGTTTCTGAACCTCTCATAGACGATGGCAACTATTTCTTATGGGTAATCACATGATTTCGAGTGCAATTTGGGAAAAATCAACACAAGTAAATTATTTAAAAGCTAACCAAATTGCACGAGCTCCTAGGGTAAGTTCAATGTGTAGTTTATGAAAACTTTACGAGTCCTGATTTATCCCAACTTGCACGAGATAAAATCGTGTGATTACTTGATAATAATATACATGCAAAAATTTGATTCAGTTTTGATTGGTGCGGCCACTTATCTTTGCATTGTTTCCAGAGTCGTGGGGATCCTCCCGCAAGAATCAGGATCAACTTTAAACTTTAAACAATTGAGTATTTGCGATCTTTCTCAGTTAGAATTTGCTTTACACGAAGGCTATCACTCTCGCAATGTAATCCCTGTCTTTCGTACTAGCTGTTGCGTAAACTCCGATATAATTTTGTTCAGGTCCTCCAGTTCTTACCTTTTAAAAATTTTTGCCATAGCCGTTTTTGGGAGTCCATGCCTCACCGAAATTTAGCCAGTTGTTTGCGCTTTGTTGGAAGTTTTTGATTTTAATCAAGCACAGGCGACCCAAGCTCGCGTCTCGAGAAAAAGCCAACAATTAATTCATGAACGCGTCACGCGTTGTGTGACTCGGTGTTAAGTTACGAGAGGAACTGTTGAAAATTTGAACACCTTATTAGGAATAGTATGGGGAACGAAATGTGATCGGTTTACAACGATAAATATTTCAAAATATGAATATTTTACACGTAAAGTCATAACACTTACTCGCATCCTGTGTGTCCGTTGTAGTTTCCGGCGTTTTCTGCTGTTTTAAGGTTGCTTTACCATCACTTTTATTCCTGTCAAAAGACGAAGTCAAGGCTGCACACTCCGATTTCGACCGTTGTCCATGAGCTTGGGCGGCCTGTGAATCAAGACGTCGTTATTTCTCCCCTAACCTGTCCGCCATTTCGTTTTTATGTGCTTTCGCAACTTTCCCACCAATCAATTTTTTTCAACTTTTTGCAAGTTATTGGATAAATTGACATGTCTTTAACCAATAAGCAACCTGAATTTTTTCCATATATGTTATTATAAAACGAATGCGGAGAGATGTCGTGTATTACCAACTTCGTCTGACTACGAGCTATTTTCCATTTCATTTTTTTTATGCAACTTTTCTTTAGCCCCACCCAAAATAACCTTACCTGCCGTTGTGGAAGCTCTCCCAGGTTACAGAGTGAAAATTCCAGTGACTGGAACTCTACCGATATACACAGCAGTAATAAGAAGCTCTACCGTGTTGGTGAACACAACATATGCTGCAACCTTTCAGTTCTATAATGAGTCAAATTGCACCTCTGTTGCCTTTAACAAGTATGGATATGATACGAGAGAGTTCTCTGTGATTTTTAAAGGTAAGGACATTTCATAAATCTAAGAACATGACTCATCTGAGTTAAATAAGGTTCTGAAAATTCTACTCCTACAAATGAACCTGTATTAACCCTTCACTGCAACAATGACGTACTGAGCACGTCCTGTACCACATACTCAATACGTCCTAAATCGTAGTACTTAGATGGATAGTTCCGCAAGTTGAACAAACGATCAAACTGTAAACAATTAAACCCATATGGAATGGCGTGGTGACCGCTAAATACAGGTTAGCTGCATAATACAGGATCCTCAGATAAGGGGTATTGAAATAAAGATAAACAACTTACTTTGATTTTGGGAGATTTCGGTAGCTACGATTACTATTATTATTGTAGATAAAAACGATCTTCGCATTAATGAAAACTACTTAAACAGTAGTAAAAATAAAGTCTAAAAAAAGGTTTAGGCCTACGCGGGGTTTGATCCCATGACCTATGCGATACCGATGCAGCGTTCCACCAACTGGGTGAAAATAAGGCCGGGAAGATGGCGCTCCTATATTCATTTTTTCACTGCAGTTCACATGATTTTTATATATTCACAGTCCTAACTATTATTGCTGCCGCCATTGCTACAACTGCTATTTGTTTTCCTCTACAATTAGATTCAACTTCATAACGCTTTGTTCTCAACTTAATGTCAATGGTGCTATTAACTGGAGTTTATTGATCTGGAGACTTAATTTAACCAGTTTTGCTGGTTTTCCTTTCCCTTACTTTCCTTTCTTTCAGACTGTAAACATGCCTGTTCTCCGAGGTTCAACAGTCGCATTGGAAATAAACTCTTATGCGAGAAGGTGACAGCAACACAACTTCAGAGGTGTCTTTCGCCGTTGACGGAAACATTGTAAGAAGCTGTGCATTGTAAGAGGCTGATTGACAACAAGCTAATGCTCAGGGCACTTGTACACCGGCATATGAACCTACAGTAGACTGCATTTTTTAAAATTAGATTCATTAAGGACTAGACTAATAATTATCGTTGCTTTGTATTAATAACATGCTTGAGCTCGAGAGCCGTCCTTTTCATTTCAAAACTTTAGGTTGTCTAAGATAAACACCCGAAGGTACAGTTTGAAAACAAAAATCCGTCTGAGTGAAATGATAAGAATTTTGAGAGAAAATTATAAGAATTATATGGCCATATGTAAAGAACTGCTGCTCCTCAAGAGGCCGATTGTTTGGCAACTTGATCAACCTGAAAGGGCTGTGAGTGAACACGACTTTGTCTAGGTTTTCTATTAAATCGAAAGGCTTTCTCTGCAAGAGCTAAGGATCAGTCTAGCTGAGATTATAGTGACACCTCTAGAGCTCAAACTTGTGCAATAAAATAACCTTAATGAGTCGATGTTTTTACAGGGAGCTCGAGGCTAATAATATAACCTTTTTACCTGAGGGATTGTTTGACAACTTGATCAACCTCTACCGGCTGTGAGTTAACACGAGTTTGTTTAGCTTATCTAATAAACTAAAGAGGCTTTCTCCGAAAGAACCAAGAGATCACCCTGAAGTTATAAGGAGAACACAAGGGCTCAAAACTAGCAATAGTGAGGAAAAGTTCATTTACTGTTATCAAATTTTGCTATATGTTTGGTTGAAAGCCGTCATTTTTAATCGAACCCAAGTAATCTGGGGTGTAATCTGTGCCCTTTATAAGGTCACTTCGGAATTTTTCATTGCACACACTTACTATGCAACTGTCGTGCACATTTAAAAAATGGAGAATCGTCCTGTATAGTCTGACCTCTCAAGAAAGGTAAAACGTCCCTTTAACAGGCAAACAGCTGCAGTAACCGTAAATATCTTTTCATTTTCTTGGAATTAAGGAAATACCCCTTCTGCAATTAAAAAAATACAAAGCCATCCTCAATGTTGGAAAAATAAACAATATTTTGGAAAGGCACTTTTAGCAAGTAGTTAAATGTTATTGTACTACTAGAATTATATGGCTATCTATAAAGAACTGCTGCTCATTAACACGCTCTAAAACTCCCTTTTCATGTATCAAAACTGTATCTCATCAAAACGCATAGGCTCGGTCTGAAAAACAAAACATGATCATAATGACAACTTTGGGATCAAACTTAACAATAGTGAGGATAAGTTCATATATTGACGTCAAATTTCGCTCTCTGCTTTATTTTAAGCACTCCTTTTTGAGAGAAAATGATAAGAGTTTTGAGAAAGAATTATAAGAATTATATGGCTATATACAAAGATCTGCTGCTTCTTAACAAGCAGATTGTTTGGCAACTTGATCAACCTGAAACGGCTTTGAGTGAACATAAGTTAGTCTAGGTTTTCTATTAAATCGAAAGGCGTTCTCTACAAGAGCTAAGGATCAGTCTAGCTAAGATTATAGTGACAACTCTAGGGCTCAAACTTGTGCAATAAAATAACCCGAATGAGTCGATGTTTTAACAGGGAGCTGAAGGCCTGTAATATAACCTTTTTACCTGAGGGATTGTTTGACAACTTGATCAACCTCTACCGGCTGTGACTTAAGACGAGTTTCTTTAGCTTATGTAATAAACTGAAGAGGCCTTCTCCCAAAGAGCCAAGAGATCAGCCTGAAGTTATTGGAAGAACGCAAGGGCTCAAAACTAGCAATAGTGAGGACAAGTTCATTTACTGTTGTCAAATTTTGCTGTATGTTTTGTTGAAAGCCGTCATTTTTAATCGAACCCAAGTCATCTGTGGTGTAATCTATGCCCTTCATAAGGTCATTTCGTAATTTTTCATTTCACATACTTATTGTGCAACTATCGTGCACATTTGAAAAACGGAGGCTTTTCCTATGTAGTCTGACTTTTGAAAAAAAATTAAAACGTCCCTTTAACTGGCAAACAGGTGCGGTAACTGTAGATACAAACCCATCCTCAATGTAAAGAAAAATGAGCAATATTTTGGAAAGGCGTTTTTAGCAAGTAGTCAAAATATTATTGTACTACTAGAATTATATGTCTATCTATAAAGAACTGCTGCTCTTTAACACGCTCTAAAACTCCCTTTTCATGTATCCAAACTGTATCTCATCAAAACCCATAAGCTCGGTCTGAAAAACAAAACATGACCATAGCGACAATTCGGGATCAACCTTAACAATAGTGAGGATAAGTTCATATATTGACGTCAAATTTGGCTTTCTGTTTTATTTAAAGCACTCATTTTTGACAGAAAATTATAAGAGTATTGAGAAAAAAATTTTAAGAATTATATGGCTATATACAAAAAGCTGCTGCTCCTCAAGAGGCCGATTGTTTGGCAACTTGATCAACCTGAAAGGGCTGTGAGTGAACACGACTTTGTCTAGGTTTTCTATTAAATCAAAAGGCTTTCTCTGCAAGAGCTAAGGATCAGTCTAGCTGAGATTATAGTGACACCTCTGGGGCTCAAAATTGTGCTATAAAATAACCTGAATGAGTCGATGTTTTTACAGGAAGCTGAAAGCTAATAATATAACCTTTTTACCTGAGGGATTGTTTGACAACTTGATCAACTTGGAGTTGTTGTGAGTTAACACGAGTTTGTTTAGCTTAACTAATAAACTAAAGAGGCTTTCTCCGAAAGAACCAAGAGATCACCCTGAAGTTATAAGGAGAACGCAAGGGCTCAAAACTTGCAATAGTGAGGAAAAGTTCCTTTACTGCTGTCAAATTTTGCTATGTGTTTTTTTGAAAGGTGTCATTTTTAGTCGAACCCAAGTAATCTGGGGTCATTTTGCAATTTTTCATTGCACAAACTTACTGTGCAAGTATTGTGCACATTTAAAAAATGGAGAATCTTCCTACATAGTCTGACCTTTCAAGAAAGGTAAAACGTCCCTTTAACTGGCAAAGAGCTGCAGTAACCGTCAATACCTTTTTTTTTCTCTTGGAATTAAGGAAATACCTCTTCTTCAAGTAAAAAATAGAAACCCATCCTCAATGGAGGGAAAAATGAGCATTATTTAGGAAAGGCGTTTTTAGCAAGAAGTCAAAATATTATTGTACTACTAGAATTATATGTCTATCTATAAAGAACTGCTGCTCCTTAACACGCACTAAAACTCCCTTTTCATGTATCAAAACTTTATCTCATCAAGACCCATAGGCTCGGTCTGAAAAATAAAACATGATCATAGTGACAATTCGGGCTCAAGCTTAACAAGTGTAAGGATAAGTTCATATATTGACGTCAAATTTGGCTTTCTGTTTTATTTAAAGCACTCATTTTTGACAGAAAATTATAAGAGTTTTGAGAAAAAATTATAAGAATGATATGGCTATATAAAAAGAACTGCTGCTCCTCAAGAGGCCGATTGTTTGGCAAATTGATCAACCTGAAAGGGCTGTGAGTGAACACGACTTTGTCTAGGTTTTCTATTAGATCGAAAAGCTTTCTCTGCAATAGCTAAGGATCAGTCTAACTGAGATTATAGTGACACCTCTGGGGCTCAAACCTGTGCAATAAAATAACCTTAACGAGTCGATGTTTTTACAGGGAGCTTGAGGCTAATAATATAACCTTTTTACCTGAGGGATTGTTTGACAACTTGATCAACTTGGAGTGGCTGTGAGTTAACACGAGTTTGTTTAGCTTATCTAATAAACTAAAGAGGCTTTCTCCGAAAGAACCAAGAGATCAGCCTGAAGTTATAAGGAGAACGCAAGGGCTCAAAACTAGCAATAGTATTTTCTATTAAATCGAAAGGCTTTCTCTGCAAGAGCTAAGGATCAGTTTAGCTGAGATTATAGTGACACCTCTGGGGCTCAAACCTGTCCATTAAAGGAACCTTAATGAGTCGATGTTTTTACAGGAAGCTGGAGGCTAATAATATAACCTTTTTACCTGAGGGATTGTTTGACAACTTGATCAACTTGCGGTGGCTGTGAGTTAACACGAGTTTGTTTAGCTTAACTAATAAACTAAAGAGACTTTCTCCGAAAGAACCAAGAGATCAGCCTGAAGTTATAAGGAGAACGCAAGGGCTCAAAACTAGCAATAGTGAGGAAAA